TTCACACTGGGGAGAAACCCTATGTATGTAAGCAATGTGGGAAAGCTTTTAGTAGACAAGATTCATGTAAAACACATGAAAGCCTTCACACTGGGCAAAAACCCTACATATGTAAACAGTGTGGAAAAGCTTTTACTATACAAAGTCATTGTAAAAGACATGAAAGGCTTCACACTGGGGAGAAACCCTATAGATGTAAGCACTGTGGGAAAGCATTTAGTACACAAGGTTCATGCAAAACACATGCAAGGCTTCACACTGGGGAGAAACCCTATGTATGTAAACGCTGTGGGAAAGCTTTTGGTACACAAGATTCATGTAAAACACATGAAAGCCGTCACACTGGGGAGAAGCCCTTTGTATGTAATCAATGTGGAAAAGCTTTTAGTATACAAAGTCATTGTAAAAGGCATGGAAGGCTTCACACTGGGGAGAAACCCTATATATGTAATCAGTGTGGGAAAGCTTTTAGTAGACAAGGTTCACATAAAACACACAAAAGGCTTCACACAGGGGAAAAACCCTATGTATGTAAGCTATGTGGGAAAGCTTTTAGTACACAAGATTATTATCAAAAACACGAAAGGCTTCACACTGGAGATAAACGCTATGTATGTAAGCAGTGTGGGAAGGTTTTTTGTACTCAGAGTCACTGTAAGAGACATGAAAAGCTTCACACTGGGGAGAAACCCTATGTATGTAGGCAGTGTGGGGAAGCTTTCTTCACATATGGTGATTGTCAGAATCATGAAAGAATCCACACTAGATAGAAAATCTATGTATGTAAATTATGTGGGAAAGTTTTTATTTCAGAAGCCATTGTAAACTGCATTTTAGAACACCAAAGAGAAAAGCTTTTTTATACAAGGTTATTGTAAATTACATGAAAGAACTCAAACTAGGTAAAATCCCTGTGTATATAAGCAATGTGAGAAAGCTTTTACCATAAAAAATACTTTTTAAAAATGTATTTAGTACAGGGTCTCACTACACAGATCAGACTCATAGTGATCCTACCTGTGTTTCAGCCTTCCAAGCATTCAGATTACAGGTGCGTGCCACCATACCCTGGAGGTGGGGTTGGCACTGCAGGCTGGGGATTGAACCCCTGGCTCCTGAGTCTGCCTAAGCAGGCACTTTAATCCACTGAGCTATCTAGCCATCCCAATACTACTTTTCAAACACATGAAAGAAGTTATATTGGAGCAAACACACACACACACACACACACACACACACACACACACACGAAGCCCTTAGCACAGCTGGTAATTGTACAAGACATGGAAGAACTAACACTTGACATTGATTCCATATATAAAAGCAGAGTAGAAAAGCTTTCAGCTTACCTGATGTTTGCAAAAGACAAAATAACTCACTTGACGGAAAACATACGTATGTCGGATATATGGGCAAGGGTCTTTTGTTCGTTTGTTTTTGGGTTTTTTTTTTTTGTCAAATGAGTGAAAATTCTTACTAGAGAGAAAGTTTATAAGCTTAGTTTGATAATCCTGTGAAAGTTTCTCAAGTAGTAGAAACCTATAGGCGTAATTAATGCAAAATGCTTGATGTAGGGCTGGTGAGATGGCTCAGTGGTCTAAAGCACCTACTTGGAACAAGCTAAGCTAAACAAAGCACAGGGACCGGGGTTCGATCCCCCAGCACCACATGCCAGCCAGCCCCGCCCCCCCTGGTGGGCTGAGCTGGCCACACACACACAAAATAAATAAATAAAAAAAAAAGCTTGATGTAAATATTTCACCATAAAATTTCTATAAAACATAGTCCCAGATAAAAATATCCTAAGGCACATATATTATGTGTTTTTTAGTAAGTCATTTAAGTATCTGCATTATGTTTCTACAGTATTTAAAATATTGAATTTGCTTAATGAGATATTTTTGTATCTCTGAGCCTAATGCATGGTGTCTTAATTAAGCACGATGAAATGTATTTTTCTTTTCAGTTAGAGCTAGTATTAGGTTTTGTGGTGGCGTGGCAGAGGAGCAGCAATAGGGGTGGAAGCCTCGATAACTCTGAGGACATGGAGGGGAGCCTGGGCTGGGAGGCGGAGAGATCCTCTGACTTAGGGGTTTTGCCAGGGGTGAGGCTTAAGGGGCAGATTCAGTGACACACGAGTAGCTGACAGGGGCTCCCTTGTGTGCATGGGAAAGATAGAAGGAAGTTGTATCCAGGGTAGAGTTGGGAAGAAGGAGCAAGTGGTCACTGGGAAGATAAGCTGTTGACTTTGGTATTCAGCTGTGTTAAATCAGGGCCATGATAATTTAGCAGTTAGCAGTTTGTACTGGAGTCAGAACCTATCAGTATTTATGTAGGGGTTTTTTGTCTCTAAAATTAGGAGGTATAGGCCATAAAAAATTAATTTTGTTAACTACCTTTTGTTAATTGTTGATATTCTGTCACTATCTTTGTTTTACATTTTTGGTGTGTATACTGTAATTCTGTGTAACAATAGTTTTTTTTAATTCGATGCCATACTTTATATTAAAATATGTATTTATTCAGTAACTTATGAACATGTTTTTTTTTTGCAAAACTAAAAACCATTTATTTTAAAATTTGTATTTAGACTTATTTTTATTTTTTTACTTAATTTATTTTTATTTTGAAACATAAAAGCAAAAGCAAGAACAAAAATCAGGAATGACTGAAACAGGACAACATACAATACATGTTACAAATTTTCAAACCAATAATAGATTAACAATGGTTGATATATTATGTTTTTAATCATCAAATGTGTTGCTCAGATTAACATATAGTTACGTAAGATTTTACATTGCATATTACTGCTTGCTTTCAAGAAACCTTAAATTTTTGTTCTTGTCTGTTTTTAACCTTCTTTAAAAAATTGTTTTAAAGAGTATAGTAATAATTTATATGACATTAGAAACAGTACACATTTAGAAGGCCAAGATAACATGTATTCAAGCATGGTTTTTGTATTACACATTGCTGTCCTTGAGGTATTTGCTTAGGTCACAGATATCAGCATAGTTAGACAAGGTGAAAATTCTACACATTAGTACTATTTTCAAAAATCTGATGGAGATTTTCAGTATAATCACCTCAGCCATCCTGGATATATACTTGCATGTTTTTCTCTTATCTTTTTTCTTATCTTTTCTCCTTTCCTCTTTGTTTTTTAATCCTTGAGTTCCATTTCTATTTTACTATATCTGTTATACATTTCAGGTTTCATTTCTTCTTTTCAGTTCTTACACTAGGGAGACAATATAATATTGACACATGTGGGTCTGGTTTATTTCACTTAGGACTATAGCTTCTAGTTGCATCCACTTATCTATGAAAATGCCCATCATCCAAAGAATAGATGAAAAAGATGTGGTATTTTTATACCATGGAGTATTATTCAGCTATAAAGAAAGACAAACTTGAGCATGTGTTTTTGACAAAGCTGATTTGTTTTCACATAATGTTATAGGCAGCTAAATTAGATAGAAATATATCCAGTCAGACAGGGCCAGGCCCTCAAGGAGACAGCATGAAAGATGATACTGTACGGTTATAAGAGACTGATGTTTCAGCTGTGGGCCAGACCTAAAGATCAAAGATCAAACAAATGCTTACCTCCCTAAAGACAAGCATCTGGGATTGATCATTACCTTGAGGGAGACAGGAAGAGTCACTAATCCAACTGCTACTGGCTGGTTACTGAATAAACTCCATACATGTGCACTCACTATGTGACTCGCTTCCTCATTCAGTCCCGGATTTATTCAATTTTACTTGTGCAATGGTGCTTATAACCTTACTGGTTGGCCATCATTTTGTCCCACCTCATGCCTCCCCCCGCCCAAGTAAGTTCATATGTTCTCCACCTTAGACCTACCTCACCACATGGTTTTACTCTATAAAAATACCTGGAAGAGAGCTTCATGGGTAACTTGCTCAGGTCCCCCTTCTGTCCCTCGCTTGGGCAGAAACTTTCTTTCTCCAATAAATATTCTGCTCTTAACCTCTATTTGTTCCTAAAATTCATTCTTCAGTTTTAGAGAACATGAACTTGGCCCAAGTATCTTTCAGGTTGGAAATTTCATTCCCCTATATCAAAATCTGTATAACAGAGAGCGTGAGGTGAGGAGCTTCAATCTGCTTTAGCAAGGCCTCCTGGTGATTTTAATGCACATGTGGGAGATCACTGTTATACATGTGTCCTCCTGAACTTTCTCCTCATTAAAAAGTCACTGTGATTATTGAATAAGACTACTATGTAAAGATTGCAAAGTAGAAATTAGTATAAAATTTTAGGTTATTTTTCCCACCATAAATGAAAGTAAAGTGAAATGGGAGTCTCTGAGAGTTCAATTTTCTTTTACACAGTTGGAATAGGGCATCAGAATCAAACAACATAAAGTCAGTGCCCTGCCAGAAAACTACCAGTCAAGGACATTGCTATTACTAATCTGGAACAGAGTTTTACATTGTGATGTAGATTTAGAGAGGAAATACTGAAGTCACACAGGACCCTCAAGTATAAAAAGAGAAGAGGGATTCTTGGGCCTTCACTTACTACCTCTTATCCACTAAAAAGAAGACATTTTTCTTGCCCTATCCTCCCTGCCTCACACATGTTGGAATGAGCGCTTCCCATATCTCACAGCTGGGGTTGGGATGATGTCTCCTACCATGTAGTAGCAGGAAATTCCTAAAATCCCAGGAAAGGGTCTGTGAAACATCATATTCATGACCCCAAGGAAAATTATGAAACACTACCTACCGTGTCACCCATCTGTAAAAGCTAGTCTCACCCTTTTGCTAAGCAGCTGGTCCAATTTTCTGTCAGAATTATGCCCCTTAGGCTCTTCTCTTCAGTCCTTTCCCTGTTTTCTGAAGGAATCCCCCAAACACATCTTGTATCATCACAACACCCAAAGGTCCACTGACCTGTGCCATCCAGATAGAATGAGGGTAAAGCAAGCGCCAGCACAGCTGTGAGGAGGGAAGGAAGTCCAAGAAGAAGGCAGGTCTAGGACAGGTAGGGAGCAGCACAAATGCTTGTCAGTGCACATCCAGTCACTTCTACTGCCCTGACTGGCATCACATCACCTGGCATCAGACACGATTTCTCCAAATTTGGAGCTTAGGGAAATCTGCCTCTTCACTCTGTCTTAGGAGAGGTGCTGCCTTTTGTGTGATTCTACTGCTTCGCTCCTCACTGGAAGACCTGATTAAAGTTTAATCAATAGCTAGATAGCAGCACATGGACTCAGAGCAGATAAATTAGGAATGATAGAAATAATCTCAGGAGGGCCAGCCACATAACTCAGTGGATTAAAGCTCCTGCGAGCAGGCAAAGGAGCCAGGGGTTCAATCTCTGGGTCTGCCAGGCCAGCCCTGCCCTGGGGCTCACTTGAGATGGCAATTCAGACTGGGCATGGTGGCACGCGCCTGTAATCCCAGCTCTTGGGAGGTTGTAAACAAGTGGATCACTATGAGTCTGATCTAGTAGTGAGACCCTGAACACCCTGGAGACCCTTCCCTAAAATGCACACACAAAAAAAGAAAACAAATAATCTCAGGAAGAATAATGCAATAACATGCTTAGGTACAGAAGTCCACAGTGAAAGCTCTCAGAGGAAACCATGGAAGGAGCGGTGTGCTATAAGGCTGAGGGGACTCACATGGCAATGTAGGGACCTCCCTACATGTGTCACTTTTCACCTCACCGCTGAAGGAATCTGACCACCACCGCCCCAGGCTGACCAGAGATCTCTGTAAACAGCCCCATTTGTTGCAGCAGTACCTCTGGAAG